GTTTCATGTGACTGTTTCATGTGTCTATTTCATGTGACTGTTTCATGTGACTGTTGCATGTGACTGTTTCATGTGACTGTTTCATGTGACTGTTTCATGTGACTGTTTCATGTGTCTATTTCATGTGACTGTTTCATGTGACTGTTTCATGTGACTGTTTCATGTGACTGTTTCATGTGACTGTTTCATGTGACTGTTTCATGTGACTGTTTCATGTGTCTATTTCATGTGACTGTTTCATGTGACTGTTTCATGTGACTGTTTCATGTGACTGTTTCATGTGACTGTTTCATGTGACTGTTTCATGTGACTGTTTCATGTGACTGTTTCATGTGACTGTTTCATGTGACTGTTTCATGTGTCTATTTCATGTGACTGTTTCATGTGACTGTTTCATGTGACTGTTTCATGTGACTGTTTCATGTGACTGTTTCATGTGACTGTTTCATGTGACTGTTTCATGTGACTGTTTCATGTGTCTATTTCATGTGACTGTTTCATGTGACTGTTTCATGTGACTGTTTCATGTGACTGTTTCATGTGACTGTTTCATGTGTCTATTTCATGTGACTGTTTCATGTGACTGTTTCATGTGACTGTTTCATGTGACTGTTTCATGTGACTGTTTCATGTGACTGTTTCATGTGACTGTTTCATGTGTCTATTTCATGTGACTGTTTCATGTGACTGTTTCATGTGACTGTTTCATGTGACTGTTTCATGTGACTGTTTCATGTGACTGTTTCATGTGACTGTTTCATGTGACTGTTTCATGTGACTGTTTCATGTGACTGTTTCATGTGTCTATTTCATGTGACTGTTTCATGTGACTGTTTCATGTGACTGTTTCATGTGACTGTTTCATGTGACTGTTTCATGTGTCTATTTCATGTGACTGTTTCATGTGACTGTTTCATGTGACTGTTTCATGTGACTGTTTCATGTGACTGTTTCATGTGACTGTTTCATGTGACTGTTTCATGTGTCTATTTCATGTGACTGTTTCATGTGACTGTTTCATGTGACTGTTTCATGTGACTGTTTCATGTGACTGTTTCATGTGACTGTTTCATGTGACCTGTTTCATGTGACTGTTTCATGTGACTGTTTCATGTGTCTATTTCATGTGACTGTTTCATGTGACTGTTTCATGTGACTGTTTCATGTGACTGTTTCATGTGACTGTTTCATGTGACTGTTTCATGTGACTGTTTCATGTGACTGCTTTCATGTGACTGTTTCATGTGACTGTTTCATGTGACTGTTTCATGTGACTGTTTCATGTGACTGTTTCATGTGGACTGTTTCATGTGTACTGTTTCATGTGACTGTTTCATGTGACTGTTTCATGTGACTGTTTCATGTGACTGTTTCATGTGACTGTTTCATGTGACTGTTTCATGTGACTGTTTCATGTGTCTATTTCATGTGACTGTTTCATGTGACTGTTGCATGTGACTGTTTCATGTGACTGTTTCATGTGACTGTTTCATGTGACTGTTTCATGTGTCTATTTCATGTGACTGTTTCATGTGACTGTTTCATGTGACTGTTTCATGTGACTGTTTCATGTGACTGTTTCATGTGACTGTTTCATGTGACTGTTTCATGTGTCTATTTCATGTGACTGTTTCATGTGACTGTTTCATGTGACTGTTTCATGTGACTGTTTCATGTGACTGTTTCATGTGACTGTTTCATGTGACTGTTTCATGTGACTGTTTCATGTGACTGTTTCATGTGACTGTTTCATGTGTCTATTTCATGTGACTGTTTCATGTGACTGTTTCATGTGACTGTTTCATGTGACTGTTTCATGTGACTGTTTCATGTGACTGTTTCATGTGACTGTTTCATGTGACTGTTTCATGTGTCTATTTCATGTGACTGTTTCATGTGACTGTTTCATGTGACTGTTTCATGTGACTGTTTCATGTGACTGTTTCATGTGTCTATTTCATGTGACTGTTTCATGTGACTGTTTCATGTGACTGTTTCATGTGACTGTTTCATGTGACTGTTTCATGTGACTGTTTCATGTGACTGTTTCATGTGTCTATTTCATGTGACTGTTTCATGTGACTGTTTCATGTGACTGTTTCATGTGACTGTTTCATGTGACTGTTTCATGTGACTGTTTCATGTGACTGTTTCATGTGACTGTTTCATGTGACTGTTTCATGTGACTGTTTCATGTGTCTATTTCATGTGACTGTTTCATGTGACTGTTTCATGTGACTGTTTCATGTGACTGTTTCATGTGACTGTTTCATGTGACTGTTTCATGTGACTGTTTCATGTGACTGTTTCATGTGTCTATTTCATGTGACTGTTTCATGTGACTGTTTCATGTGACTGTTTCATGTGACTGTTTCATGTGACTGTCATGTGTCTATTTCATGTGACTGTTTCATGTGACTGTTTCATCTGACTGTTTCATGTGACTGTTTCATGTGACTGTTGCATGTGACTGTTTCATGTGACTGTTTCATGTGACTGTTTCATGTGACTGTTTCATGTGACTGTTTCATTGACTGTTTCATGTGACTGTTTCATGTGATTGTTTCATGTGACTGTTTCATGTGACTGTTTCATGTGACTGTCATGTGTCTGTTTCATGTCGGTGTTTCCAAAACTGTAACGCTCATGTGACTGTTTCATGTGAATTTTCATGTGACTGTTTCATGTGACTGTTGCATGTGACTGTTTCATGTGACTGTTTCATGTGACTGTTTCATGTGACTGTTTCATGTGACTGTTGCATGTGACTGTTGCATGTGACTGTTTCATGTGACTGTTTCATGTGACTGTTTCATGTGACTGTTTCATGTGACTGTTTCATGTGACTGTTTCATGTGACTGTTTCATGTGACTGTTTCATGTGTCTATTTCATGTGACTGTTGCATGTGACTGTTTCATGTGACTGTTTCATGTGACTGTTTCATGTGACTGTTTCATGTGACTGTCATGTGTCTGTTTCATGTCGGTATTTCCAAAACTGTAACGCTCATGTGACTGTTTCATGTGAATTTTCATGTGACTGTTTCATGTGACTGTTTCATGTGACTGTTTCATGTGACTGTTTCATGTGACTGTTTCATGTGACTGTTTCATGTGACTGTTTCATGTGTCTATTTCATGTGACTGTTGCATGTGACTGTTTCATGTGACTGTTTCATGTGACTGTTTCATGTGACTGTTTCATGTGACTGTCATGTGTCTGTTTCATGTCGGTATTTCCAAAACTGTAACGCTCATGTGACTGTTTCATGTGACTGTTTCATGTGACTGTTTCATGTGACTGTTTCATGTGACTGTTTCATGTGACTGTTTCATGTGTCTATTTCATGTGACTGTTTCATGTGACTGTTTCATGTGATTGTTTCATGTGACTGTTTCATGTGACTGTTTCATGTGACTGTCATGTGTCTGTTTCATGTCGGTGTTTCCAAAACTGTAACGCTCATGTGACTGTTTCATGTGAATTTTCATGTGACTGTTTCATGTGACTGTTTCATGTGACTGTTTCATGTGACTGTTTCATGTGACTGTTTCATGTGTCTATTTCATGTGACTGTTGCATGTGACTGTTTCATGTGTCTGTTTCATGTCGGTGTTTCCAAAACTGTAACGCTCATGTGACTGTTTCATGCGAATTTTCATGTGACTGTTTCATGTGTCTATTTCATGTGACTGTTTCATGTGACTGTTTCATGTGACTGTTTCATGTGACTGTTTCATGTGTCTATTTCATGTGACTGTTGCATGTGACTGTTTCATGTGTCTGTTTCATGTCGGTGTTTCCAAAACTGTAACGCTCATGTGACTGTTTCATGTGAATTTTCATGTGACTGTTTCATGTGACTGTTTCATGTGACTGTTTCATGTGACTGTTTCATGTGACTGTTTCATGTGACTGTCATGTGTCTGTTTCATGTCGGTGTTTCCAAAACTGTAACGCTCATGTGACTGTTTCATGTGAATTTTCATGTGACTGTTTCATGTGACTGTTTCATGTGACTGTTTCATGTGACTGTTTCATGTGACTGTTTCATGTGACTGTTTCATGTGACTGTCATGTGTCTGTTGCATGTGACTGTTTCATGTGACTGTTTCATGTGACTGTTTCATGTGACTGTTTCATGTGACTGTTTCATGTGACTGTTTCATGTGACTGTTTCATGTGTCTATTTCATGTGACTGTTTCATGTGACTGTTTCATGTGACTGTTTCATGTGACTGTTTCATGTGACTGTTTCATGTGACTGTTTCATGTGACTGTTTCATGTGTCTATTTCATGTGACTGTTTCATGTGACTGTTTCATGTGACTGTTTCATGTGACTGTTTCATGTGACTGTTTCATGTGACTGTTTCATGTGACTGTTTCATGTGACTGTTTCATGTGACTGTTTCATGTGACTGTTTCATGTGTCTATTTCATGTGACTGTTTCATGTGACTGTTTCATGTGACTGTTTCATGTGACTGTTTCATCTGACTGTTCCTCGTTCCGATTCGTCTCGAAACTGTATTTTTGTCTGTAACCATCTGCGCTTCACGCGTGCCTGCAGGTGCAACGGGCGTTATTCGTCCCTTTCCCAGCGTCCAGCTGTCATTAGAGAAGTGGACCACCTGCCTGACGTGGCATGTGCTGACGTGGCAGTGGAGGGGAAGCCGTGGGAGCAGGTTGAGCTGGCAATGAAGGAATGGACGGCGACAGTCGGCATGCTGGTGAGTGTGGGGGTGTGGGCTTTGGGTTGGGAGAAAAGGGGATGGGTGGGGGGGAGCGGGGGGGGGGGGGGTGTTGCACCGTTGGAGCAGGGAGGACTGAAATTAGTAGTTTGTGTGTTCAGGCGTGCTGCATGCATTTGTTTATACGTGCTCGTGCGGTGCTGTTTCATACAGTGCTGGGATTTGGTTACGTTTTGCACAGTGCATGGTTAAAACATGGCGGCGGCGGCACCCTTTCCTCTGCCCAACCAAACCAATCAGATGGCAATGCTGCAACATGATGACGTCACTGCTACTGCAGCTGCCGGTGCTTGTGCTGGTGGAACAGCTGTTGCTGCAGGGGAGGGAGGGCACGCTAGCATCAGGAGCACGGTAGACGCGGAGGAGCCACCAACTGTTGTTGCCCCACAATCGCCCCGCATCCCACCCCTCTCCGTCAAGCTTCCGCTCACTGCATTCCTGCACTCTAGGCCGCGCAAAGCCTCGTCACCCTCACAGCAGGCCACGTCACCCTCACAGCAGGCCACGTCACCCTCACAGCAGGCCATGAATGTAGATTCCAGCCTCTGCATCGGGTCAGACGTAGCTCCTCCTCCTGCTGCTGCTGCTGCTCCCACTGCTGCGGCTTCTGCGGGTGCAGCTGAGGGCACGGAAAGTGAGCTCCAAGACTCGTTTTATTCGTGCCGTTCCTCCCTCTCCTTCTCATTCGCATCTGACAGCCTCCGCTCCAGCACGAGCAACAGCATGAGCAACAGCATCAGCAGCAATAGTAGCAGCACCACCACTACCACTGACAGCACACCAGCAGCAGATGGCACCACACCACCCACCACAGCAGCAGCCAGCATCTCCCTCTCGTCCATCGTTGCTCATCTCCTCTCCAATGCCAGTACTCTCGCCGACCCTTCTTCGCCCCCGGGCAGCCTGCGCAAGTCTCTGCTGCTCGCAGAAATGTTTGTTGCTGCCCGCCGGTCTGCTCCTGTGGTAAGCAAGCTCTAAGATTTCACTAGCAGATTTTTTGATGGAGACAGATTTCATCACCAAAAAAGAAAGAATAATAGCACATGCATTTCACAACATGCACCACATCTCATGCATTTCAGTGCAATCAATACATCATATACATTTCATCACACGCATTTCATCACACGCACTTCATCACGTTCATCAAACCGAATGCATTGCATCATGACATGGATGGATTTGCACCGCATCCTCCCTCAACATGATAACATCATCTTCCCTCACTATCTTGTCCTTTCTTTCCCCCTCCCTCTCAGTTCCAAGCCTACCTAGCAGACAAGTCAGGAGGACACGTGGTGGCGTCTGATTGGTCGACGCAGCTCCCAAGGCACCTGGCGGAGGGAGTGCTAGGGGCGTTTGAGTGGGTGGCCGTGGGGCTCGAGAAGGCTGCAGAGGCAGCAGCGGCGGCGGCACGCCCGAAGCAGTCTACCAGGTGAATGAAGCTAACCTGTGAGCGAGGTAACCTGTGAGCGAGCTAACCTGTTACAGATCTTACCTTAGAGGCGCCTCACTAATGGAGTGGATTGTCCGTCTTACATAAAGAAAGGATCTTTGAGGCGTGTCAAAAATCATCCCACTCTGTTGAAGCAAGCCTACTCATTAGCCACTCGTTCGCCCCCTTCCTCTTCCTCTTCCCCTCCTCCCCCTCCCCCTCCCCCTCCCCTTCCCCTTCCCCTCCCACCCATCCCCCTCCCCTTCCCCTCCCCTTCCGCTCCCCTTCCCCTCCCCCTCCCCTCCCCCTCCCCCTTCCCCTCCCCCAGGCAGCAGCTGGCCGCTCTCCTCCTGTCCCCGCGCCACAAGGCCGCTCCGCTTGCCTCCCCACGCAGGGCATCCCCGCCGCTCCTCTCCCCCCGCAAATCGTCCCCGCCACCCGCCTCTCCGCGTGCCAGCTCGCCTGTGGGCGGGCAGGGGGATCCCAAGGCGCTGGCCGTGGTGGTGCGCGTGGTGGCGCACGTGGCGGCGTATGCTGACTGGTGAGCGGGGGTGTTGTGCTGGCTGGGTGTTGCTTGGTGGGCTGGCTGGCAGTGCTTGAGGTGGTGCGCGTGGTGGGGCACGTGGAGGCGTAGGGTGACTGGTGAGCGGGGGTCATGTGCTGGGAGGGGGGTCATGGGGTCGTGGTTTTGGGACCTGGTTGTGTTGACTGGCAGTGCCCATGGTGGTGCGCGTGATGGGGCGCGTGGTGGGGCGCGTGGAGTGGAGGAGTATGGTGACTGGTGAGCAGGGGGCATGTGTTGCTAGGTGCTGCTCGGTAAAGAGCGGTGCTGGTGACAGTGCTGTAGTGGTGCCAGTTACCATGGTGGTGCGCGTGGTGGCGCATGTGGAGTGGAGGAGTATGGTGACTGGTGAGAGAGGGGCATGAGGATTGGTGTTGACTAGGTTGACTTGATTGACTTGATTGACTTGATTGACTGGTCACGCCTTCAGTGTTGTGGTGGTGGGACATGGTGAGGAGTACGGTCACCAGTGAGAGGGTGGGGCACATGAGCAATACACTTGCTACCTCATCCCTCCTGATCAAGGTGTGCTTCTCTGGCTGGTCTCGTCCTGATTTCCCTCCCTCCTCTCTTTCCCCTTGACCCCTCTCCACCGCACACCACTCCCAACTGTGCTCTTCTCCCCTCCCCCCAGGGACACTCCTGCTCCGTTCGTCCCTCCACCCGACCCTGATGCGCCCACAGCTTTGGTCCGAACCTATGGAGGAGCCTTGGCAAGCATCTTCAGGGAGTTTGGAGGAGCGGGGGGAGGAGGAGATACAGGAGGAGAGGGAGGAGGGGGAGTGGCCGAGCAGGGTGTGACTATAACGGGGGTGACTGAACGGATAGTGGGGGCGCTAATGGGGGTTGTGGAGGGGAAGGCGGCTGCATGTGATGATGACGTCACCAGGGCACTGTTCATGCTCAACAACACATGCATCATCCAGCAGTAAGCGCATCATTGATGCACTATGGGGGTGAATGCACTATGGGGGTGAATGCACTATGGGGGTGGATGCACTATGGGGGTGGATGCACTATGGGGGTGGATGCACTATGGGGGTGGATGCACTATGGGGCTATGATGGATTATACGCGTTTAGCGTATATACGCGTGTCGTATATACGCTACCGTATATACGCTAAACGCGGGAGGGGTCTGATCCAGGATACGCATTTCCGGGCAGCTAAAAAAGTTTCCCGGGCAGGGCAGAAAACCCTTCTGGGAGTGCAGCAAGGGGGGTATCTGGTGGGTTGTGTTTCTCCAAAAAAAAACTTCCCCATACTAAAAATTTCCCCCATAATAAAATTATCCCCCATACATAGAACAACAAGGTGCCTCACTGCTTCCTAGTCTACTCTACCCCCCTACTCCCCCTACTCCCCCCCTACTTCCTAGTCTACTCTACCCCCCTACTCCCTCTACTCATACTCGTCCGCCAAGACCTCGTCCTCACCTTCCTCCTCCTCCATCTCTTCCGCGATCTTGTAGCCAGCGGGGATTGGCGGCTCCACCTCATTCCCGCGCACAACTCCCGGCATAACATCATGGCGCGTGTGCCATCCGCGCACAACGTTCCAGTTGTGCGTGACGTACACCAAATCCGAGCACTTAGCGGATCCGAGACGGTTCCGCCGCGCAGTGTGGACTGATTCCCACTTCGCCCATCCACGCTCACACGGAGATGCCGAGACGGGCTGCGAGAGAATCCTTACGGCGAGCGTCGCCAGCTGCGGCGCATCCGTCCCATTCCACTGCCACCACTTAACCATGCTGTACGTGCCCGCCTTTACCTTCTCCCTCTGTGCAATGGCTTCAGGCATCCCGAAACTCCCTTTGAGGTCAAGGAAAGACCTCAGCTGGTCCCCCAATGCGAGTAAATAGTCGCACTCATCATCCCCCTCCTTCCCCCGATTGGAGAGGAACTCCGCATGTTTGGTGAGGAACGCCTTGAACACCCTTGTGCATTCCGCATCCCCGCCGAAGATGTCCTCCTCTTGGTTGGCGGGGTTGAGGATGCGTCCCGCCACGTGCATGGCGCATGCAAGACTCCCGTCCCACCTGTCTTTCAGGATTTTCCGGATCTGCTGCTTGTTGGTGCTGGACAGCTGCTCCTCATCCGCCTCGACAATGGCCTCCACATCCTCGGTAAGTTGGAGCATAACGTCGTACATTCGCCCCATCATCCCCTTAGCTTCCCCATCCGTCTGCCGCATTGCCATGAAGGGGAGCTTCATGAGCTTCACGAAGAACTCGGCGGTCTTCCACCAAGCCGCATCGAGTACCAGCGCGGCAAACCCATCCGCTGCTTTCTTTCGATCCGCATCCCCCGCCGCCCAAGCTTTCCACAGGTCGGAGAGCACCATCTGCGTAAGGGTGTTACGAAGGGCACAAAGACGGGACACCGATATATACTGGGTGCCGAAGCGAGTCCCCGCTGGCTTCAGCGCCTGCTTCACGGTCCCCTCCACCAGCTCCGGCGTCCGCAAGTACCCCCGCGTCCAGTGGTGGTTGCGGACGAACGAACTCATTTCCCCAGTCCGCTCCACCACCCTTTTCGCCCACCCAAGCTTCCCCACATCCTCCATGAGGAGATCCAGGATGTGGGTCGCACAAGGGACAATCTGGATGTGGGGCCATTCCGCAATCATCTGCCGGCAGGCAGCCGCGTAGTTGGAGCCCCCGTCCATACAAAAGGCGACGATGTTCTCCGCACCCACCTCCTCCACCACGGGCTTCAGTAACCCCGCAATATAACCCCCCGTCTTCTTCTCCATGTTGCGGTCCACGCACACATGCATCACGGCGCCCGCGTCGTTAACGAGGAAGACATTCGCCTGCGGCCTCCCGGCCCTGTCCGTCATCATGTCGGACGCGACGGTTACTCCAGTCTTTTTCCAGCTTGCTTTGATGCCCACCAAACCGCTTTCGATGCCACGGCGGCATGCTTGCAGACCTGTTCCGCCGATGTACTTCCGCCCTGGAGGAACATAACCGTCGCCGGCGCGGGCGACGTCCCTCATTGCGTTGACGAAGAGAGGATGGTCTACGATTTGCTCCGCGATGTGACATCCCGCAAACATCAGCGCCAGCGACTGATGTGCATCGCGCTTTTTCGCTGCTGCATCACCATCGAGATAGTCGGTTATGCGGGACCGCTTCCCGCTTGGGTGCACCGAGGCAATCGCAGCCTCAGTCGATCTACGCCTCTCCTCTGAATCAGCGGCCTTCTTCTCATACATGGACTTCATCGCGAGGCGAACATCAGCCGGTGCATTCTTGCAAAGTGTCACCTCCCGGCGCTTCATGTTCTTCCATGACGTCAGGTGTTGCGCGCAACGGATGGCGGCACCAGAGAAGACAAGGGGGCAGTATTTGCACTCGTACTGCTGTGCCTTGCCCTCTTCCCGCTTAATGAGCCTGAAGTTTTTAAACACAGGGTGTTTAACATCGGGAAGGTATTCCCGTGTCGCAGTCGAAGGAACCCTCGCACTCTCCTCAGTCTGGACGGACGGCGATGTGGGAGGTGGAGAACAAGACATAGCGCGCTAACTAGCTAGCGGGAGTTGAAAACCGAATGAGATGGACATTTTGACGAGTGGCTAAATAGCATGCTGGGTGACGGGGATGAGGACACGAGTGGTTGGACTGGATAGATGATGTGTGTTTGAATGCGGTGAAGCGGAGCGATTGAATTGTGGAGACGTGCTTGCGCGACTCGAAATACTTGACCATGCAATTCTGAACGTGCAAATTGTGAAGGTGGTAATCGCGACTCCAGGTCACGATTCCAATTTCCAGCCACGACAGCCACCTGACGTGCAATCTGAGATCACAGAATTGCTCGTCGTGCAATTCCGCTGCTTTTGAGCAATTCGAATTTTTTTGGGTAGGCGGGCTGCCCCGAAAAACTTTTGGGCTGCGTATAGCGTTTTCGCTAGCGTTTAGCGTATAGCGTGTACACGCTAGCGTAGAAACGCTACACGCAAAAGGTGCAAAGCGTATAATCCAACATAGCTATGGGGGTGAATGCACTATTGGGGTGAATGCACTATGGGGGTGAATGCACTATGGGGGTGAATGCACTATGGGGGTGAATGCACTATGGGGGTGAATGCACTATGGGGGTGAATGCACTATGGGGGTGAATGCACTATGGGGGTGAATGCACTATGGGGGTGAATGCACTATGGGGGTGAATGCACTATGGGGGTGAATGCACTATGGGGGTGAATGCACTATGGGGGTGAATGCACTATGGGGGTGAATGCACTATGGGGGTGAATGCATGATAGCATGCTTTATGGGGGTAGCTGCATTGTGTGATCGCGACCTCGCCCTCGTCTCCTCCTGAGATTTGTTCTCTCACCCTTGTTTTGAGTCAACTCAAAACACGTCTCCACCCACTCCTGAGATTCGTTGCCTCACCCTTTTTACTTCATCACCTTTTCCAGCCTTTTTCATTCGTAACTCACAAGGTCCGCATACTCCTATTCCATCGCCTAACCAATCAGAGCCTGCCAGCACTGCACAGCACATCTATCAGCCCTTTGTCAGCAAGAATGGAGTCTCACTCACAGGCCTTGTGTGCCCTGCATTGCTCTGCACCGTTCTGCACCGTTCTGCATCTGCATCTCACACAGTCCTCATGCGTCCTACCCTCCCAAATTCCCTGACCAATCAGAGCCTGCCAGCGCTTCCCATCAATCAACCCCGTGGCAGGCGCAGGATTTGGGTGCTCTGCACCGTTGTGCACCGATCTGCAGCGCTCTGTACCCGTAACATTCCTCATACCCCCTCACCTCCCATTCCATCCCCTGACCAATCAGAGCCTGCCAGCGCTTCCCATCAATCAGCCCTGTGTCAGCTACAGTGGAGTCCCACTCACAGGCCTTCCTGCTCGCAGCTACCAGGAAGGTGAGTCGCAGCTACCAGGTGAGTGAGCCATGCTGACGTGGCATCCACGTGGCAAGCAGCCTGGCAGCAGATTTCGCACCTTTCCTCAGTCCATCCCTCACCTCCTCTCTAACCCATCCCTCACCTCCTCTCTAACCCACCCTCGTGTTGCCCTGCTAACACAGCTGCTGCAGACGCTACCATCTCCTGAAAAGAGCTTGAAGATGAGCCAACGACACGTGGAGGAGAGGTGAGGCGCGGGGGAAGGTGGGGGGAGACGTGGGAGGGTGAGGGGAGGTGGGAATGTGAGCTAGTGCTAGTGCTACCACAGCTGCTGCAGGCACTATCATCTCCCGAAAAGAGCTTAAATTTGAGCCAACGACATGTGGAGGAGAGGTGAGGGGAGTGGCGGGAAGGTGAGAGGGAAAAGGCAATCCATTTCTTATCAGTAATTATGGACGTTATTATTCTCTCGTCAGTAATGGCAAGTGGTAATTACCCTTTTATGAGGGTTTCATTACAGTGCAACTTAGGAATGGTAGCATGGGAGGAGCTGATATCAAGCGATACCTGTGTATGTGATGTGCATACCTCAGCACTACTGTTGTGAGAACATCTCTGATTAAAGACGCCCCTAATCAGAGATATGCAAAGCGTCTTTAATCAGAGATGTTCAAAATCTCATAAGTGTTGTGCACATCACCGCCCTACTGTGTTGCACGCCAGGGATGCACACCACAGTCCTACTGTGCATAACTCGGCACTGATGTTGTCCCTCGCTCTTTTCCCCCATTTTCCCAGGCTTTCCGAGTTCAACAGGGCATTCGAGTCGCTCTCGATGCAGCAGCTCTCCTGGCCAATAGTGGACGACGATTGCCGCGTTGCAATGCGGAAGAGATGGGCCACTCACATTGTGTCCATCTACAGCGATTTTGTTGAACCTCATATGTAAGTTGGTCATTTTCCCTTCAGGTATATGCGAATATCTACAGAGTATCTTGTTGTGCAGATTTTCTTCCAGCAAATGGTGTACACACACAAGGACCACAAAATAACCCAGCATACGGTACCTTAGATTGTCTCACTATGTTCTCCCTTTCCCCTTTTCCAGGCACTGGCTGCCCGACTCTTCCTCCTTCCGCTTGGACCCCGCCACGCTGGAGCGCCTAATTCTCAAGACGTTCTTTCCACGCACCCGTTCGTGCACCACCACAGCCCGTTCTCCTCGCCTCTCACAAGAAAATGAATCTACTACCTTGCTTTTATCGCCACCTTTGCCTCATTCATGCCCTCTTATTGAAACAAAGGGAAGAAATGTATGCTGATTGAATTATCAATGTATATAATTGACTAGAACAATTTAACAAGCTGCCTTGTGGAAAGAGAAAGTGTTTTGTCCACCAGTAGTTGTGGTAGCTATTCCATTCACGATTGAAACCAGTGCGTTTGCAGGCACGACACACAGCGTACCTACATCACCGAACCGAACCGAAGACGGTGCGTGTGGTGTTGCTGCTGGGATGCAGGTGACATTCCCGTGCACGCGGCTTGTTTCCTGCCCTTGTGGTTGGGGGTAGGGAAGTTGAGAACCCAACTGGAGTCGTGGCTAGTGACTCACAAGGGGGCTCGCATTCACCTGCGTTGCACGCTGCGCCACATTTCCATGCATTCTTGTGACTGCAGATGAATCACATGGTTTCTTGTGCCGCGGTTCGGGACACTTCACTCACTTTTCGCTGCTAGTGACTACGATTCTTTGGTTTCTCTGCTGTCCCATCCAGCCGTTTGATTCTCAGTCCACGCCATACGCGCACGCAACCCTCTTCGCATCAAATTCGTAGACGAACATCCAGACGACAAAGTCTCGCCTACAACACAGAATTCCTTCTCCTTCCCTCCTCCACTCAAATATGACTGACGTTCATGCTAGCGTACAGGACGATAGCATGAATCGCCACCAAAACTGATAAAGGCATTGTCTTGAAACGAAAGAGCTCCGTTTGGAGACTGGCGTGCTGAAGCCCGTTATTTAATGATACAAGGTTATACGGTATTTATTTGAGACGATTCAGCAGTTCAGTACAATCAGCGTCAAATAATAATGTTAAAGATGGTGTATAAGCAACCGGCAAGTGTGGGGTGGGGGATTAACAAGTACACTTTTTTTAACACCCTTTTCCAATAAAATTGTTGCAAAAATGGCATTCATTGACATTGTCCATCTGGGTTTGAACTATAAAACTACACAATTAGCCCATCTAGCAAGATCGCCATGCCATGAGCTGCCAGCTCTCGGCAATCCCAGAAGGCGACCTCCCGGCACACCCAACCAGGTGATGAATCACCTTACTTCTTCTTGGCAGCAGCCTTGGTGACCTTGGCACCAGAAGGGTCCTTCTTCTCAACGCTCTTGATGACCCCGACAGCCACTGTTTGTCGCATGTCACGCACGGCGAAGCGACCAAGAGGAGGGTACTCAGAGAAGGTCTCGACGCACATGGGCTTGGTGGGAATCATCTTCACGAAGCAAGCATCACCGTTCTTCACGAACTTGGGCTCCTTCTCCAGCTCCTTGCCGGAACGCCTGTCCACCTTGGTGATGATCTCAGAGAACTTCACGGCAATGTGCGACGTGTGGCAATCCAGCACAGGCGCGTAGCCGTTGCCGATCTGGCCGGGGTGGTTCATGATGATGACCTGCGAGGTGAAGTTGGCAGCCTCCCTGGCGGGGTCGTTCTTGGAGTCGGAGGCGACGAAGCCACGCTTGAGCTCCTTCACCGACACGTTCTTCACGTTGAAGCCAACGTTGTCACCGGGGCCAGCCTCGGGCAGAGACTCGTGGTGCATCTCCACCGACTTCACCTCAGTGGTCAGCCCGCTGGGAGCGAACACCACAACCATACCGGGCTTCAGCACGCCAGTCTCCACACGACCGACCGGGACTGTTCCGATACCGCCGATCTTGTACACGTCCTGAAGGGGCAGACGCAGGGGCTTGTCGGACGGCCTCTTGGGCTCAGACACCTGATCCAGAGCCTCCAGCAGGGTGGGGCCCTTGTACCAGTCCAGGTTGGTGGAGCGCTCAATCATGTTGTCACCCTCGAATCCGGAGATGGGCACGAAGGGAATTTTGTCGGGGTTGTAGCCGACCTTCTTCAGGTACGACGACACCTCCTTCACGATTTCCTCGTAACGGGCCTTGGAGTACTTGGGGGTGGTGGCATCCATCTGGGACAAGGCGACATGTTAATTTACGTTAGCACCATAACCAGATCGGCGCAGTGCAACAAGAGCTGAGAAGCAGAGCCGTACCGTAGGGCCAAGATGTATAATTTCACGACAAAATAAAGTGCCAATATTACGCAGAAAATATGATCCGCAAATTGCTTACCTTGTTGCAGCAGCAGATCATCTGCTTCACACCAAGGGTGAACGCCAGCAGAGCGTGCTCACGGGTCTGACCATCCTTGGAAATACCGGCCTCGAAACCACCAGTGGTGGAGTCGATGATCAGAACAGCGCAGTCAGCCTGTAACAACAAGGTAAATGATGATCAGATCGGGCACTCAAAAGCACGCATAAATCAAATTAGCAAAATCCAGATCTCTAACGAGAATAACAGCGCAATCAACTGACCTGCGAGGTACCCGTAATCATGTTCTTGATGAAATCGCGATGGCCGGGAGCGTCGATGACCGTGCAGTAGTACTTGTTGGTCTCGAACTTCCACAGAGCGATATCGATGGTGATACCACGCTCGCGCTCCGCCTTCAGCTTGTCCAGCACCCAGGCGTACTTGAAGGACCTCTTGTTCATCTCAGCGGCTTCCTTCTCGAAACGCTCAATCACACGCTTGTCAATCCCACCCAGCTTGTAGATGAGATGACCAGTCGTCGTCGACTTGCCGGAGTCGACATGGCCGATGACGACAATGTTGATGTGCAACTTTTCCTTACCCATGTTGCTGAACTGAAGGAATAGGGGGGTTTAAGGAAAGTACATGTGTCAGACCTTTCTCATGTTCCAAGCTGATCTTACAATCGTGCAGTACGGCAGGAAAGCTCATGCAGAGTCGAACTATCAAGTAATCCTACAAAATCTTCAACCTAGTGAACCACGAAATACATTAGTGCATACCTGATGGGGAAGGGGAGATGTCAAGCAGCGAGGGAGGGTCAGGTACTGGGCTAACGAGAGCCCTGAAACTCTCAAGTTCCAAAAATGAACCCATTCCGTGGGGAAGATGTCTAATGAAGCAGGAGGGCCAAAGCAGCAGAGCTGGGTGGAGGCAGAATCTCGAATGACCCACACCTCGAATCTCAAGGCCAGGTCTGGAAGCAGGGTGTAGCCTCCACCTGGGCTGGGTGGTGTGGCTTTGGCTCGGCTCGGAAGTTCGTTCAATTGGTTCCGTCAGGAGCCTTGGATTTGTCGCAAGCCACGTGTACTTGCGAAAATGCTTTCGCGCCGTCAAGCAGTTCCTCGCTGAACTTGTCGCTGATGTGGCGATTCCCGTTTCCAACCTCCTTGGGCGGTTTGGAAACACACACGCCTTGGTTATCATGTGGTAAACCCTCTCAAAACCTCCGCTGTCTAATTGAGTAACCAACCACACTTTCCACAATCCATTTCTCAGGTGTGGATTCGTCACATTGTGACTCGCTTACCATTTGAGAAGATTCAACAAATATACCCCAACGACCTAGAATGCAAAATATACAATATTTCAGATCTTTTGAATTTACAAGAAAATGTGTCCCAACAAGCATATAGCAGGCAGGTTCATCCATATGACATGTTGGAATAACCGAAAGGTTATACGGTAACGGCATTCTCGAAGGTATCGTTACACACTATCTCATACAGAGAATGCGCACTAGCTACTATCGTGTTACACTCATATCGAGCAGGCGATAGTAAAGGAAGACGGAAAGTCAACAGTCGGAAGTCATCTGTCCTGACTGTCGACTGATCGAGACCGAAGGTTACGGGCTGCAACCAGGTAATCACATGCATCGGAATAGTCACGCTACTGTACCGATACATGTAATACGGTTTACGGTTTTAATAAGGAAATCTACGTACCCCTCATAGTACATGGCTAGCTAGGACTACATAATTCATTGTTATTATTGATTATAATAATCTTGTCATCTACATTCACTATGATACACGGCCACTACAAGATTTCCGCTTTCTTGACTCCT